AGAGGAGTTTGAAATGAAGCTCAGAGACTCTAAAGTAAGATGAAACAGCAAGAGGACTCAGGAAGCTTTGAATTGAGCCCCCAATACATAAATATATCAAGTGTGACCTGTGCACATTTTTCTGGGCACATTTTTGTGGCTGATGGAATATTAACACTGCAAACCTTATGGGGAGAATCCCTTTTATCATCTCGATTTCCTGTTTCCTAAAGGAAACCCTCAGGATGTTCTCCTGCAGATTGGGATATCATTAAGGAATTAAATAATTAAAGCCTTCCATTAAGTTGTACACCTCTACTTTAGCATTCAGGGGGCTGAGGCAGGAGGATTGTGAATTCAGGGTATACAGTGAAACTCTTTTTCAAAAATATAATAAACAATAAAAAGAATTGAGCAATTAAGAAATTATAGTAAGCATCCACCCACACTCCCAGTGGGAGCCCCTAGAATTTTCCTGGTCCTAGTACTTTTTATATCTCCAACCTTTACAATGTATTCTTCTTGTCTTACTTATGTCATGCAAAGGGCAACTTGGATCCAGTGCCATTTCCTGTTCCAGAAAAAAAAGCTACTGTATCTCAGTAAGCAGTGTTTCCTTTTCTCAGAACTGCAGTCTATAACATAACTTCTCTGCAAGGAGCTACTTCATGCATCTGATGTATAATCAGGTGTGATTCCACATCTTTTCTTTGGCAGAAACATTAAATATCAAAGGCTTGAGTTGTAGACTTTTCCAGATTCCCATCTTCCTTTTTTTGCAGCAATAATACCTGAAAACACTTAAATATTGATTTTTTCACCACTTTGAAACAAGGTCTTGCTATGTAGCTCAGGCTGGCCCAGGACACAGTGATCATCCTGCCTCATCTTCCTGACTATGCTTCTGGAATTACAGATGTATACTGCTACACCTGGCTTTTGAATACTGAATTTTAAAGTTACATAGAACATTAGTAATTTCATCTGAAAGATAAAGACCAGAAGCCCACCTGCTAGCAATGGATCTGGATTAGACACTAATTCTACTGATTAGCAAACCCAAAATATAGTGCTAATATTCAGAAATTCCAAACTGTTTAGAATCTTTAGAATTTTTAGTCAAATAGACTATAGAAGTGCAGATAGAGAAATAATTTAGTTTTAAAAAATATGAATGTATTCTTTGACTATATGCCAGAAGAAAATTATCCAAGTTACTTGGAAACAGACTCTGGAATTGAATCAACATTAAAAACTAATGGCAAACCAGTTTAACATCAGAAAGGGTAATGCACCAAGTATGTCAAACATAAACAGGCAGAAATGACCTTAACCTGTGCTCAGGAATTAGGAAAGCTTTCCTAAATGTTCCTGTGGATCAGATGACATGACATGAACTTTATGAGAGACCTGTGCAGTTGTGAACTTTTATTTACAAATCATGAGGGTGTTAGTTTGCATTTGTTGACTTGGAAGTAGAAGCTGTTGAATGCTTAGGGAGACAGTGCTTTGAGTTTAGAACACAGAGAGGTAAGTAAGAACTGATGCTTTAGACTGACTTGATTGGGCAAGTATATGAAAGAGTAGAGTTCCTAAAATACGTAAGTTACTTATCTCTGAGTCACAAGGGAGTCCTGTATACTTGTAACCCAAGCCAGCTCACAATAATTACCTTCCACCTGTGATAGTACCAAGAACAAAAGGCTCTGTTTTGAGTGATTTTCTTTACCTGTCCCAGTGAACCCTCTCTTGATAAATCCTTGTTCCTAGTAATCACCTCTTTAAGCTCCTATAAAGCCCCGTCTTCCTTGACTGAACTCTAAATTGGGTTGTAGAGCCAGGAGGAAGTAGTCTTCATCGTGGGCTCCTGAGAGTGCTATTAGCAGTTGGGGGCTCCTGTGGCATGCTAAGTAGAAGCTAAGGGAAGCTTTTGTCTTAACAGAAGAGAGAATCTCTGTAGAACTCATGAGTCATGGAGGAGTAGTTCTTATATCACCAGATTGCAGAAGGGCCACAAAGACTGTGGAGCTGATACTTGTATACTCATTGATGACTTTTTCAGTGTTGGGGCTCACTAACACACCTTTCCAGGTGGCTGTTTATAGGGGATTTTAAGCACAATGAGGATGCTGATACCTACTACTGGTCATCTAGTAGACACTAGTAAATATCTAGTAGTTGTGAATTTGAAACAATATGTCTTCTTGTCTCAATGAGGCCGAGGACGCCTTGGATAGGTGCCTTGGATTGTATCCATTGGGGGTTCTGGCTCCAGGTTGGATCATGCGAGTCATCTGTGGTTTTCCTACTCTATTTCATTGAGCTCTAATCTGTACCTGAATCCTCCAGGCAGTGACTACAGGGGCAGCAGCTACAAGAGAAAAATAAATACATAAAAAAACCTCACGGGCTGGGAAGTTGGCTCAGTGGTAGAGTGCTTGCCTTGCATGCCTGAGGCCCTGGGTTCGATTCCTCAGCACCACATAAGCAAAAAGAAAAAAGCCGGAAGTGGCACTATGGCTCAAGTGGTAGAGTGCTAGCCTTGAGCTGAAGAGCTGAGGGACAGCACTCAGGCCCAGAGTTCAGGCCCCACGACCGGACCCCCCCCCCAAAAAAAAACCTCACCTACACTTTAGAATTAAAGACTGAAAGGTTCTCACTTTTATAGTCTTTCCAGAACATGTGGAAGAATAATTCTAAAGCAACCCAAATCCGTGAGGCCAGGCAAGATATTCTATACCTTCCATCCAAGTAGAAGCCGGGGCACATGGCACCTGGTGGTAAGGCAGGTTCAGGGGGGCAGCAGATCGCATAGAATGTCTCAGTTTTGCTAGTGGTGCCAGGGTAAGACAAGACACCTCTCCATTCTTCTATCTCATCTTAGAGGAGTCTGGCTCCTAAAGTCACAAGTCCAATGGTTCATTTCTATCTCTAAGTGAATCTGCACCAGTACAGGTTAGAATTACTTAACTCTTGTTTTGTATTTTGTATTCCTATCTACCTTTCCTCTTAATTTTTGACTAGAGGTGAGAGTCAGTCACCAGAATATTGGTGGATGGAATTTGGGATTATTTCAGAAACAGTGGGACAAAGGGTGAATCAAGTCATCAGTGATACTCACTAGATACTACATTGGAAATGAACTTTACAACTTGAGGACTCCTGGAGAGGGAGGAAGTAGGAGAAAATGAGGGAGAGGGTAACACTGTTCAAAGAGAAATGTACTCATTACTATACTCATGTAACTGTAACCCCTCTGAACATCACTTTTACAATATAATTTAAATTAAAAGGAATAAGAAAAATAAATGCCAGACATCAGGAAACTTCCATTTTGTGTGTGGGCGGAGTGATACTTACACTGAGCTTCCTACTAGGAATCACCAGATATAAAAGCCATGCCTGGGTTTGACCTTTCACCCCAGGAACAGATGAGGTGTTGGGAGCCAGGACCTTTGGAGACACTGAAGATACACAGATAGCTCCCCCAGATATCTGCTTGCTGGGCTTCTTTGAAGAAGACAGGGACTGTCTCAGAACACTGTGTCTTCAGAGCACTGACCACAGAACGTTCTTCCCACCCCATAAAGTCTATGATCCCTTCCCTGGTCTCTGATCATCAAACCCCAGACAGTCCTCCCCTCCCCCCCACCCCCCCGCCCCACACCATTCCCCCCCTGCAGAATGAGTAACACAGCAGGTGAAGAGGGACATGGAACACTTTTTAATGTCAAGTCAGAGAACAACCCCTCCCTCCCCTACCCCAATCCCACTTTCCCTCATCACATACATCCAGGACCCCTCCCCGAGGCCTCTCTGCTCCTCAGACTTGGAGAGGAGGACAAAAAAAAAATCGGTTTACCTAAAAACTCCATTTTTCTTCTCTTTCATACACACTCACACAAAGGTGAAAAATTAAATAAAATCAACCGAGAGGATTCAATTCTTCAGTGGTCACAAAGGCATCAGGGATTCCCGTAGTGGGCTAAAGCAAGTGGTTACTGGCGGTTTTAGTTGGATTGATTGCTTGCTGTCTGTTAATGCCCCAGGCGAGATGGAGAAGGGAAGCCAGAAGGCTTTTTGCCTTAGAGAGCCACACCTGGAAAGATGCTGCGCCTGATTATTCATTGTTGATGTTGTTCTTTTTTTTATTTTTCTTCTCTTCACTTTTTATAAATGTCTCTGACAATGTAAAGAACCCAGGAAAATAAAAAAGGCAGGAGCTGATTACACAATTACCAGTAAACTCTATCATCTTGTAGAAGATCAACACACAGCTAACGCCATATACAGCATGCAGTAATGTCTGAGAAAGGACCCTGCTGAGAAACAAAATGGCTAGAACTCTAACAAAAAAAATATATGTATATATATATACTGTATAATATATGCCCTCAAAAGAAGCATAGCCAACAAACCCAAGACACAGTGCAGATCAATTTCCCTTTTCTAAAGAGTATGGGGATAGCATGGAACTGCCTGTGTGAAATGTCGGAATTAGGGGGAATCGGGCGCGCTGGTGTAGTGGTACCTAAACTGGGTGTGTAGTGGTTTCTTTTGTTTGTTTGTTTGTTGGTGAGTCTGCCAGGACCTCACCAGGTATTTAATGCCCGGCACATGATCCGCCAGTTGTAAACCTAGTTGAGAAGTACACTATTCTTTTCATGTTTTAACATGTCTGTTCACCCCTCTCCTGTGTGTGTGTGTGTGTGTGTGTGTTGTTTTAGTTTTTGTCTTGTTTATTTTTGCACTAAGTTCTCGACTCATATGAGAAAATATAATTAATAAAATTAATAATGAATCAGAATCCCTTAGCATCGTGATGTCCATGTCATAAAATGAAAAAAAAAAGATAGAGAGAAAAGTTTAACCATATCTTTTTGTGACTCTTGTTTATGGGATTGTTGTGGCTGCCAGGCTGTCTTTTTTTTTTCCTTTTTCTTTCTTTTTTTATTTTTATTTGTATATTTCATGACATTTGCCCTGGTGACAGTCTACCAAAGGACCCTCCGCAGTGCATCTGGGACCACGTGTCTCACTCTGCATTTGTCTGTATCCTTAGGAAGGATGGAATTTGGGATGGTGACTTCAGAGTGGTCCACGGGGTGGGGGGGCACTTAGTGGGCAGAATAGCTGAGCCCTTGCCCACCCTGGTGACAGAGAAGTCACTTAATGCAGCTTGTGGGTGGGTCCAAGCCGGGTGTGCATTCTTCCCATTTTGGAAAAGAAAGAAAACTCAGCGGTACCTAAATATCTGCAAGGCGATTTTCAATTTTCCTTTTTTTTTTCCTTTTTAAACTTTTTGTGGTTTTTTTTCTTTCCCCCAAAGTATTGTTTGTTCCCCTCCCTCAAATTTCTCTCTTATGAGCGGCGATTCTCCAAAATTTCATTTGATCCTGACTTGTTGCTGTCGCGTGGCCGTGCTGCGGGTGTTGGAGATGCGGTGGTGGCAGCTCTACCCAAAGGGGAAGGGGCGCTCCCATCAAAATTTGAGGAGAAGGTGTAAGACCAGAAGGGGGAGGAGCCAAACACAGCTTGCCCTCCGTGATGTCCCATTGCTAACCTCGCTGACTGCACCAGGGCCTGTGGAGAGAACACATGGATGGTGAGCTGCTGGCTGTGGAATGGTTGAAGCATTCTCGAGTGGCCTCGAGTGATGACATCAGACTTGCCTCTGACAAGACATCCATACGCAGAGCATCTGGTGCCCCAGCTCCAGCCCTTTCTCCTGCTCCATGCATATGCGCTAGGCCCATGGAGAGACCTCTCTTGCAAATAGAGAACAGAAGGCTCAGTTCAAGTGTCCTGGTGACCATTACTTAACATGCTCAGGCTCTGGTTCAGGGTCAAGTTCAAGAAAGAATTTATTCAATAAAGTTCAATAGAGTTCAATACAGCATGCCCCTTGTGTTGTTTGCCTCAACCCCTGTTCCCTCTGAGATCTGTCTGCCTTGGCTATTTTCTGAACCCTCCAACTGCTCGGCCTGTTGTTCAGGGAAGGATTTGTTGGGGCATTATGATCTATCTCCAAACTGCTACTGCTACTGCTGCTGCTGCTGCTCTGTCAAACACAGAGGCCATCCTGCCAATCACTGAATCTCAGGGCAGGCGCTGGTTCCACCTGGAGTACTTGGCCTCTTCCTCATCTGGGCAAGGTAACAGCAGATCTGGTTCACGTGTATACTTGAAAGGCTCAAAACCAGCCCTTATAGGGTTCACAGGAGACTAAGTAAGGAAATGGAGCCCACCTGCGGAGTGATTGTATCTAGGGGATAAACATGGGCTGTGTGCAGACCCTGCCTTGGTGTGAGTCTGTGGGGGAGGGGACATGGTGGAAAAATGGTCCTACAAGGCATAAAGCCTGCAGATGCTCTTTGACATGGAGCTGAACACAGGAAGTAGGAGAATTGCAAGATTACAGAAGCTTCCCTAGTCTTAAATACCATCGCTTACAACGGCCCTTATGGCTATAAAAATGTAGTGGTGAATCCTGAACCATACCTAGGTTTGGATTTCCAGATGGATTTGGTATCAAAACAATAGCACACTTTATCCACTGAACCTATCCTGTTGGCTACCGTTGCACTGAATTTAATGAAGGTGCTTAAAGCTGGTGGTTACATTTTAAGTCTTCATGGGGAGGGGAACAAGGAACAGAGCGAGAGCCTGTTTTCCTGGTTGGAGGCTCATTATTGGAGTCACTTGTGGTTAAATCAGATCAAAACTCAAGCTGTGTTTCTTCATTCCACATAGGATTACCCTGTCCATTCCTGGGACTTAGCCCTTTGAGGTAAATCTTTGGTATTGGGTCAGTGGGTAAATACCACTCCCCAAGTCTGACTGCAATAACCCATCCAAACTCATGTCTGCCTGGTATCTGTCTCACAGGATTCTCAAGGTCAAAACCACCTGGTCCCACCCCAAGACCCCAGGGAATGCTGTCCTGCTTTGTGCCCTGCAGGACAATGAACTGTGTGGATAACATAAAGCTGATGGAGTCCTTACAGACACAAGTAACAAAGGAGCATGTTTGAAAGTCCTGAGGATTTACACTTCAACTGCTTTTCACCTGGGATTTTTCAATAATTGGTTATATCTTGTACAATTTAATCTTTATGTTTCTATACAATTCACCACTCAGAGCTCCACTCACCCCAAACTCTGCTTGAACTCAAAGGAGACATAATAGTCCCCAGCACCTTCCAGAGTGACAGATTGCTTCTGTCCTTTGAGGAAGTCCTTCCCTTGTGAGATGCTCCAAGGTCTTCCCATCAAGACCCTGTTGGTGCCTAAGGTTGAAGACTCTCAGTCCTGTGTCTTCCCCACACAAAGTTAGTGATCATAGTCTATTCTCTCTTGTGTGCAGTGCCCAGAACTATTCTCAATGTACCCTGCACACGTGGTGTCTGTGTTCCTAGCAGGACAGAGATCTAAGGACACACAGATCCTTCTCTTGCTGTATCCCCTCACCCCATAGCTACTTCTCTTCAGAGCACGCCCACACTCAACTTTGAATCACACTCTACTGATACCATTCCAGTTCACATCTCCCTCTCCTCCCCAGCTTCCTGCCATGGCCAAGACAAGGCCTGATGTTAAGAGATATGAAGAACCATCTCCAAAAACCCAAGAGTGATTTGATATGCCCTCTTTCTCTTCTCCATTCCCTCCTTTCAAGGCCAACCAGAAGGAGAGCTATGAGCCAGGTGTATGGCCCAGTAAGGGTTGACTGGATTGCTATCTAAAAAGAAGGGATGAATGCCTTGTTTCCAGTCTGAGACTCTACAGCTCAGGAAGTGACTGAGTTGGCAAATGGCCCTACTTGGCATGTTGCAATGGAGAACTGAGCTGGCAAAGGGCTCCCAGTGGCATATCACAATGTCCTGGTGGCTCTTGGCTCTTACTTGGTCATATCACTATACCCCTCAGGAGCCTTTGTAGGTCTGTTTGGAGAGTATCGCTGGGAGTCTGTAGGCACAGATCCTAATTACACTGTGAGAAAACTCTCCTTCCAGAGCATGAAGAAAGCCACAATTGTCTGAGTATATGGACTTGCTTATTTGCGCCACTGTCTAGGAAAGGCTTCTGGAGCCTCTGTTGCTCCTACTGAGACCCAGGGGAAGCTGGTACTCACTGTGCATGGTACAATACAGTCTGTCTTCACCTCTACCCACACACGGACTCCCTTACCTCTCCCCATTGCCCAATCTTTCTGCATGTCCAGAAAGCCTGGCCTGGGCAGAGCTGAACAGATGAAGCAGGAGCAGAGACAGTGGTGTGGTAGTTACCACCCCCTTCCCTACATACACACCCAGAGAAGATAAATCAGCAATGTCATATCTTCCCATTCACAGAGCTTACCCATTCACAAGGTAAGTTGTCCTTAGTTGCCTTACCCCACGTATTATTTGTCAGGCACATCCCAGGGTGATATTTCTACAATTCCAAATTCTTCACACTGTGAATCAGAGCCCTCTAGCAATAACAGAAGTGCCTGCCTTCTTGGCAGAGCATGCATCACATCTTGTGAACTGCCTGCTGTTGGGATCCCTCAGGTTCTCCTCCTGCCCAGTATCCTTGGGTGTGTCTTGCTCTGTGCACAGGACACACAAACCAGTATCCTCTACTCATATTCACTTTCCTTCCCACCCTCATACTGTCATCTAACTCATTCTCTGTTCCAGTTTCTGTTCTGGTCTTCAATAATCTCCTTGAGGGAAAAAAATATCCAAACAAATAACAACAGAAAAAAAATCCTACCTCCTCTTTTACCTGTTTCTTTTCCCACACACCCTTCTTCCTCTCTCTAATCCTATTCAACAGAAATTAGGAAATTTCTGGCACTGAATGAATATCTGCACAGAAGCAAATCCATGAGGACCGGGAAGTCAGATGAATTGCCTGAAATTGGGGAAATGAACCTATCGCAGAGCCCAATGGCACTGAGAAACTGAGGGTGGAAACTGAATGTCAAAGTGCCCAAGTGGCTTGCCCAGGGTCCCTTGGCTTCTCTCTCCAAAACATTTCTCTCTAGCTTACAGCTGCTGCTTTATGAACTCGTGCATCACTATGAAGAGTGGAAAGGGTCCCCCATCCTTGCCCCACCACATCTGGGCACAATCACAGTCACGCAGCTGACCTCCCTAACAATCAATGATATACAGGAGACACTATGGGATAAGGATCCTTTGGCCAGGCAGGCATGGATCACAGTATGCCAAGAGTAAGTCCCTCTCAGAGCCACAGTGACAGGGTGACCCATCTTTCTGGTGACACAGCCACCCAGATGAGGCCTCTGTCCTTCACCCTCATTGGATGCCTTTATTTCTTCTGTCTCATTAGGGAGCTCTGGAGGCTTAAAGAGACTAATTACCAGGACATTTAGGGTCTCAGAGAACTGTGATGAGTGTCAATTATCCATCGGAAACATCTGGCAAGAATGAAAGCCTCAAATAAGACCCATTTTATTCCTGGTCAAGTGACTCACCCAAGAACCTCCCCCTTCCTCCCATTTCCCCTCCCACCCATCACTTCCCTTCCAACTCCAAGTTAGAGAGAGAAAGAGACTGGGGGTTGGGGGAAGCAAAGGGCACATGCAAGCCCAAGGTCTAAGATGATCATTGCATTAGAGTATCTGTATGTAAGAAGAGAGACAGGCCTGGTGAGGAGAAGCCCAGAGCCCAAGCTATTATAGGCACTGGCAGGTGCTCATTAGTGCCATTAGCAAAGATGAGTTAGACATTGCACAAGTAGAAGCTATCCAGGGAGGAAGTGATGTCCTCAGAAGATGGGTTAATCTAAATAATCCTTGAGATGTTCAAGGTCAGGCAGAGAGGTGGGGAAGAGAAAGGTCCCTCTGGGTTGCTTCCTAAAAACAGTTTAGGAAAGGAAGTCTTCTTGGAAGAAGATGAAGGCTTTTACTCACCCCACCCCAACCCAACCATGGCAGCAGCTACCTGAAAAAATAAATATACCAACCTTTCCAAGGGGTCATGGCTGTAGTTTTCACTTCTAAAAGAAATTAAAAACAAGCCACTGTTAAAGTAGAAAGCAGTCAAGATTACTTGCTTTGCAGTCAGATGATTTTAGGAAATGAATGAGCTCCTGGCCTAAGAGTTCCCCCAGGCCTCTCATGCCTGCCTCTGGTTGTCCTGACCAAAGCGTAGAACTCATAGTGAATATCCAGGGCAGCTACAATAAATTGGAGGCCAAGCTAGGGTGTGAATAATAGAGTTGACCACAGACTGAATCCAAGCTAAAATATCTACATAGCATTAACAGAAGTTGGCCTAGACCTTCGGAGCACAAGGTATCAAGAAAATGCCCATTTTTAGAGAAAGCTTTCTTTCTGTGGTCACCAGATTATCCTTGAATTCATTGAAGTCTGAATACTCCAAGTATTAAGTTGGCTACCACAACTGGATTTATACCACAAGCATTTGAATGCCAGTACATGCCAGGTTGAAATGGTAAGTTTGACTTACCATTTAAGAAACACTGATGAGTTTTTCTCTGCCTTTTCCTTTTCCTACTAGCATATCCAATACAAATGCCCAGACGTTAGTCTTTCCTTGTGAAAAAGG